ATTTGTAAATTTAAAAATTAAAAATATACAAGTTAAAAGAAACTTAAAACTCTACATGTTTCGGTGTAAATAATTATACCATCTTTAACATGTAGAATTTTAAGTTTCTTTTAACTTGTATATTTTTAATTTTTAAATTTACAAATATATGTTTGTGCAAGTAAAAAACATTAATCTTCGTTTTATTATTTTATTTAACATATTTGCACAAGAACTGTCAGTTTTATGTATTGAAACAGTATCTTGTTACTTTTACATAACATATCTGATGAGTAACAAACACTTGGAGCAAGACCAATGCCTAAGTAAACAATTTGTCAATTGATACATAAAATACACTAAAAACAGAGACTATAAAATAGTTTTATTAGTGTTTTTAAAACCTTCTAGCCAAATTAGACTGGGCAGCAAACAACTTAGTTGTGTGCATCCATTGCTTAAGGAACAGCTCTAGTGTGTGCTATAAATAGAATGGGCTCCAAGTTTCATTCACTGATGTTGAACTAATAACAACAAAACAGACATCTTTTCATTCAGTGATATTGAACTACTACAAACTGAACAGAAACCTAGTTTTGTTAAGTGGTGTGGAACTAATGAAAACAGAACATATACCAATCATGTTAAAGTGTTATGAACAGAACAGACACCTTGTTTTGTTGACTGGTGTTGAACTACTAAAAACAAAACAGGCACCTACTTTAATTCAATCACATTGATCTACATAGGAAAAAAAATTCAAATACAACAAGAAAACAAAAGGATGAAACCACAGATTTTACTTAGAAACAGTTTAATACTGTAAATAAGACAAGATCTGAACATCTTCAACCCATTATGTCAAAAAAAGAGCTTCTGAAAAACATTTGCAAACAATTGTACAGCAATTGATCTTTCATCATTATTTGTTTGGGATTTTAGTATTACTGTTCCTTTTTATACACTACCTATATGGACTAAAGAGATTCTATTCATGTACGTACACATTAACAAGTCAAAACTGTTCAATACTTGTCTATTAGTCATATCTATCTATTTCTTCTGATGAAGTTCATTATTTTTACTGCAGCTTCCAAGTACACTTATTCTGGTTCTTTTTTTAATAGCCAGACTTGTTAATTTGGAAGCAAGGAGAGAATATTAAAGTAGCTTCTCTGTTTTCTCCAACTTGGAAAAACAAATACCAAGTTTCTATAATTATACATTGCATCATTTCACTTTAAGCCAAGTTTGATTTTAAAAACACCATTTTTTCTCACAATTACAGCTTGTAAATGTTCTTACCTTTAGATCTCGGTGAACTACATTTTTAGAGTGAATAAATTCTATCGCCTCCAAAAGTTGTTTCATAATGCCCCTGTAAGACCACAGACGTTTGACTTTAACAATATGCATTAATTGTTTTTTAGTTTTACACCATTAACAAAAAATGTAAACACAAATTTCTATACAATTCAAATCATGGGGTACGCATCTTTAATTTATGTTATACAAATTAACACCTTTTAATTTTGTATCTAATTTATAGCTTTTAAATTTGAAATACTACCTGTAGTACATTTTAATTGGGTGTAAATGAACAAATCCAGAAAAAGACAAAAGTTTTATTATATTCTACAGGCTTCAAACTTCACCTCCTTCCTTGTGAAATTGACTGTAACCAGTTTTAGGAGCAATTGTTTAAGTTAATAAAACTAAAACAACACATGCTATAATAGTTATATCATTTTTAAATATTGTCATTTATTAACATGCATATTAAACTAAACTTAATATATTAAAAAATTATAACAATAAAGTTCTTTTAGTGCTATCATGACACAGGTATGTTAAACAATTAGGATAATATTTACTTAGGCCTCCAAAATGTGAGAAAATGTAACATTTCACTACAGATGGTTCTTTTTTTTTACTAAGTCAATAAATTCCATATGTGTAAGAATAGCATTTCAGGTCTTTAATAAGTTAGTGCATTGGATGCCATTCCAGAGCCAGTGTCAAGGTGGGTACAACTAGCACACTTATACAAGGGCCCTTAGGAAAATATCTCTTAGAGTTCTCTCTCCAAGACAAAAACTAATAATATTATTTATTCTTAAAGTTAATAACCAGAATATAAATAATATGCAAGTGATAATGATGAACTTAGTGAAAGGCCCCTCATATCATTCAAGAATATGTAATTTTTTTTATTTTAAGTAGCATAATCTTTGTATTTTTTAACTTGCTTTGTTAATAATTTCTTTGGCTCAACTATTGATTTTAATGACATATAATGAAAATACATTGAAAATAACTACAGCCACACAACTTATAAAAATGTACTCATCCATCTAAAGACAATGAGTAGACTGTAGGATTGCAAATGGAGGCAAGCAGTAACTTTCAGGAGACAAGAGAGACAGGTGGTGAAAATAATGGGTGATGAAGATGTGAGAAGTAGTCCACGTGCCACCTTAAAGGATCTTGTCCAGCAGCCATCAGAAACGAGCTATGAGGGAATGAGTGAGTTGAGGAATCTGAAATTTGGAACAGTCTCCAAGCATCAACCCCAATGAGGAATAAACCAAATGTAAAAGTTCACGGACCCAACATGTAAGGCTAGAAGGAGGTATGTCCCTAGAAGAAGAGAAAACTCGGGGAAAGAGGAGTCGAAGATGAGAACCTCAAAATTGTGAGGTATGAGGTAAGTATCAAAGAACAGCACCAACAGATCACAACAGTCTGTCTGGATCCAACTGATCATAGATATAAGAAATAGATGGAATGGAAACAGAAGAGAAAGAGCAGTCACCTTCACAAGCAGCTGAAGTCTTAGACAGGTAGGACTGGTCAGGAAAAGAAGAATATAAAACTGATGGAAGAAGGTACAAGAAGAATAAATAGCATAATTATCAGACAGTGACCACAGGCAAAAAGTAAAAGTAAATAGGTCTGGAGGGAATGTGATATAAGTTGCAAATTGCCAATTACTTGAAAGGTACATGGGTAAGGGTGAATCAAATGATACTGAGGTCTCAGTTAGGCATAGGAGCAGGGCAAGGGGTCATGGAAAAGGAAGGAATGGAACAAGGTGGAGAGAACTAGGGAAGAAACATCCAGCGATAACAAGAAAGGTGACATGTTGTAGACAAGGCGACATTATAATAGGCAATGGTGAAAACAGTTAATCCTCAGTCAAACAGATAAATGAGGAAAAGAGGATACATAGCTGATGGTAGGGCAGTCAGAAGGACGGTGATGACAGATGTACCAATATTAAAAAATACATGACTTCCCTAGTGGATGGGCAAAGTGTAAGGGCAACAGGAATGACACGGGAAAAAGACTATGTGATATGGGAGACCAGTTCTATGGGTGAGAAAGTGGATAATCCCAAATGTGAAGCATGAGTGACAAAATCCCTTGGTGGAACATAGACATGTGAAGTTGAAGCAAGAAAGAATGTATAGTGGTTGGAGAAGAGGGGGTTGGATTGTCAGGTGGTTTAGAAAAAAGCATCAAGGTTCAGCCAGCCAGAGGGGTGTCACCAATAGGACGTGACAAAGATAGTGGAGAATCAAGGCCAAGATACAAGTTAAAAGAGGGAGATGTGGGTAAGTGTAAAGAAAAAGTAAGACCAGTCCTAGCTGAAAGCATAAGCATCCAGGATTGAGGGAAGGAGAACAGGAGACCAAAGGAAAGGAAGCCTGGAATTGAGAGGGATAGCAAGGCATCAGTAAGTGAAGTCCCCAAGAGAGAGAGCCCATCCACCAGAAGTCTGCAATAAAGAAACCATTTCATGGACAGAACATAGTATATCCAAAAGAGACTGTCTGCAACTGGGTTCATAGTGCCTGGTATATGGCAGGCAATAAGATGGACCCATTGATAAATGGCTTATAAAGAAAGTTCAGGATTTGAGAGCAAAGGATACTGGATCAGATACCCCCATGGCAGTTGATATATGAAAAAAAAACATAGTTGTTGGAATGGATCATAATGAAATGATCCACGAGGAGGGGTAAGAAATAGGAGTATGCTTGTTGGGTTACCAGAAGTGTGAGAGTATTGGTATGGAGAGAAGACCCATTCAGGGTCCATGTGTCTCATGTGAAATTGTCATTCAGAGATAATCTCCAACGAGAGGGAAGCCTTCGTGAAAAAGGTGCAGGTACTTAAGAGTCGAAAGAAGGGAAATGGGTTGAAGTACAGTGGTGTAGGGTTGGATTTTGGGACAGTGTGGGAACAAAAGGCGAAAGCAAGGGCTGATAACAGGCAGTTTATGCCTGTAATTCATTCCAATCAGGAATACCCCAAAACCTCAGAGCAAAGAAGGGTTAGGCAAATATCTTGTACAGAGGTAAAAGGAAGTCAAACCTGGGAAAGGAGTTTATCCCAACCTAACAATTCCCAGCAAGATTGGGCAAAGTGAGCAGAAAATGGAAGACGTGGAATGGGCTGTATTAAAGAAGAGAATAAGAATTACCTATCCTTTGGGCATGGTGAAGTGCATCAGATTTGAGGCATAGAAAGGCGAGGTAAAGAGAATGTGGGAGTGTAGTTGGTCAAGGAAGGAAGCAGCTTAAATGCTAATATAATGAAAAGGTAAAATAAAAGGTAGTTAGGTTTAAGAAGAAGGGAATGAGAAAAAATGGTACATACTTGTTTAATTATGACCTGATAATGCTAGAAAGTTTGAGGGTTCTCCTCGAGAGGGAGAGAAGTTCCCTAAGCATAACCAGGAGAACAAAACAAACACTCAAATTCATCCTCCTCATTATCCCCTCAAACAAAGGGGAGGAATGTCTGGAGCTGAAAATCCTGGCTGTTTAAGGAAACTAACCCACTACCCTAAGTGCAATGTCATCCTCTGTCAATGAGCCTCCATTAGCCATAGTTGATATACTACCTGTGTGAGGAGATTGTTCACTCACACCAGTAATAGATGATGTTATACAACTTGTGAATTCATAATTTGTAATCAAGTTCCTTAGACTTCACAAATCTCCTTAAGTTGAAAAAGAAAACACATATCTGATGTGTTCAGTAGCAAGAAAAAAAATGAAGATTCACAAGTGTAAAAGCATAGAGGGGGTTAGTGCGCAGAGAAGTGTGTCACCTTCCCAGTGGTGGAGGGCTTTTGCTGTATGATACGTCATTATGCAGTAATTCAATTCATGAAAAATTTAGTGAGATTAGGTGGGAGTTGCCTAAAGACTAGTGGCATGCAAATCTCTAAGGTAGATGCACAGGGAAGATAGCTTAACTGTACAAAGACGTGTATCGTCTTGGAAGTTCATAAGGCCTAAAAACAACACACTTTGCTGAAAATGCTTTTTTTCTCACAACAATATCAGTCTAATTTCTGTTAGTATTTGAAGCTGTAACTTGAAGTAATTTCTAAATTAATAATTCAATGTGAGATTTTTAAAAATACCACTATCTTTCTTACTTTGTTTTCTTCTCTGAAAGGGCAACCACATTTGTCAGGTAATCAAACAATTCTCCATTTTTACACCTTTAGAAAAATAAAAATCATATCAATGAACTTTTATCAAAAGAAAAAATATATTCAATTTTCTGTTACATTACACAGATTCCTAAATAAACAAAACACTCCATTTACAGAGAGAACATAAAAAAAAAGAGACCAATTTCAGAAAGCCAATCAACCCACTGAGATCACACATTTTAAAGGGGGGGGGGGATTTTTTATATTTTAACCTGAAACCTTTCAAGCTTCAGAAAGAGGACTTAGAAGTCACAGTAAGATTGTGCTGATCAGATATCAGTTGTTGTAATGGTTAGTAGCTTATATGATTACTTAAACTAATTATTTACTTAATTAGTTTTACTTTAATATTTCATAGAACTAAAATTAATCTCAAACAGGTACTTACCTCTGAAATACCAAGAGTCTCTCTTTATAGAGTTTGCTCTCATTCTGACAACAACTATGTGACTGATGTTAATAAATGTTCTTGATACAATGCAAAGCATGACTTATTACACCCATGTCAGAAGATCATATATAAGCTCTGCTTTCCCAACATAATCCAGATTTCTTATAGTTCTGATGGAAAACCACAAGTCAACCAGTTGGATGTATGTATCTGTTTGAAATTAAGTTTAATTCTAAATATATAAATTCAACCAGAATAATTGAAATATATGATCAAGCAGAGCTTGAATAGAATATACAGCTAAAGTAAAAGTCAATGGGGAATCTGGTGGAGCAGACTAGCCTCATAAGAAAACTGACCAATGAGGACACTCAGAAGAAACAATTTTTTCAGAAGAGTACATCAAAGTAAGTGAAGATAATAGCATGATTGTCCAAAAGAAAATCTGCATTTGGCAGGAAAGAAAAGCTTAAGTACATTTTTGTAATGTAGGAGCAATAAGTTACATGGAAAGTGGGAGAGTGGAGAACTCTGGATTAAGTTGATGCATTCTCTGCATTTTGTCAAGGACATTCTGAATCTTAAATTCACATGATTATTGTCAGCATGAGAGCAAACTCAAAAAAGGAAAGGTTTTTAGTTTTTAACATTTCAAAGGAAAGTCTACCTGATTTCAATATTATTTTTCATTAATATTAATTATAAATGTTTTTTATCCTATGTTTTAGCTACAAGTCTTGAGAAGAACTATTACACTTGTGGCAGTGCCAGAGATTTCAACCCGACCAAGCAGATAGCACACACCTTTGTAACAAGAAGTCCCAGATTTGCTGAAGAAAGCAACAACTTTGCAGTAAAAACATAGGGTAAAAATTAACTAGTAATTAGTAAATACAAAAATAATTAATTAATAACTAATAAATAATTAGAATTAAGTGGTCCTACAGGCTACTGACCATGACAGTGACTTTGAATGTAGCTCCAAATGTTTACCACTTGAGGAATAAACACAGAGGCAGTCCATAATTTTTTTCTTTTTAATGGCAAAACTACTAAGGCTATCTGCCACCATCTCTAATCTTGAACTGCTGACCAGAGATAAATCAACCAGCTGGCAGCACCACCAACTCTTGGGAAACTTTTATCAACAAATAGTAGAAATGACCATAACATTATAATGTTTAGTAGCAGTTCATATGATTTAGAGGAGAAATAAATTATGTATTTACTCTTTGCCAAAACAACAGAAGAAAAACAGTATGATACATTGTTTGAAATTCGAAGTTTAGTGGTTTTATAAATTCATTGCTTTTCTGACTATACAATTATAATTATTTATATTTAACATAACTGATCATACTTACAATTCAAACACCAAGAAGATAAATGTTGTAGAATCAAACACATCATGAAGCTCAACTGAAAAATGAAAATAATAATGAAATAACATTTGTTTGTTTAGAATCTATGTGAAAAAATACTCAAGGCAAGTACAGATTTTATATTTTATTTTTTTTCTGGAGTTAGAAGATTGTTAAATTTTTTTCTGTAACTTTATTCTAAAAAAAGATATTCAAATCAAGTAAGAAAGCCTTTACTTCATCAAATCTGATACATTTGAAGTAACTGATTACATTGTAGATTCAAACACATCATGAAGCTCAACTGAAAAATGAAAATAATAACGAAATAACATTTGTTTGTTTAGAATCTATGTGAAAAAATACTCAAGGCAAGTACAGATTTTATATTTTATTTTTTTCTGGAGTTAGAAGATTGTTAAATTTTTTTCTGTAACTTTATTCTAAAAAAAGATATTCAAATCAAGTTAGAAAGCCTTTACTTCATCAAATCTAATACATTTGGAGTAACTGATTACATGATATTTGCATCTTCGGTGTGGACTAATAATTGATTAAATTTGATAATTCAAGCACAGCTGTGAATATATATACAGCAATAAGCATGTACATAAAAGTTAACATTTTTTTCCACTGAACAAGTATTTCTGGTAGGTACTTACCTCTTTTTTCACACAAAGCTACTTCGACCTTCTTTCTGCCCCTTAAGCATTGCTATAAAGTTTTAATACTCATCACACCATTCTATATACCCCACAAGTTTTTTTGACACTTTTGAAACATGTATATAGCACGTGACCACCCTTCACCAATAGTAATGCACCACATATATTGGCACAACTAGCTCCCTCAATGTTCCCACTCAATTCTCACTTTGAGAATTGGCAGGATCTATAATGAATAACTCTGGCAGTGAAGAGGAAATGTGAGAAGTGTGTGAGAGAAGATAAGTACCTATCGGAAATACATTTTCAGTCGAAGAAAATGTTAACTTGTGATAAAGTTTTATCTAATCTTTGATAGGTTGTTTAGGCAGGGTATTCATAATGGATCTAAGTTTCAAATGGACAGCAACTGCCTGTTGTAGAAACCTACAAATGTAGAGGGCAACGTTTTGAAAGTCTTCCGCCTTAGGACAAAACGAGTCAGAGTTACATAGAAGGGAAACTGCTCTTTCTGTTGGTTATAAACCCATACTGAAAAGAAATAGGTGAGACTAGATAAGAGGTTTTGAAAGAATGGAGTAGTGGGAGGAACCACTAGTAGATTTGCTAAATATATTGACATCTCAGCAAATCAAAGAGTCGGGAGGTTCTTATTTTATATTTAGCTTGTCCAAATATCAAATAAAAGTTTTAATTTGTTAACCACTGTACACATTGTATAGTAGGTATAATAAAATATCAACTGAGTAATAAGACAAGAGGAAGTACTATGTGACACTCGAAAATCAATATATAGCATTTTTTCCCTTATATTTCCTTTTAAACGAAGAAATTAAAACATATATAATATTAAAATTTCAATTATAAACTATGTTTTGATGTCAATTTCATTGACATGAGTAATAATAATAAGGTTACTTAATAAAATTTTGAAAATAACTCTAAAAAGATCATGACATGAGCTCATTAACAAGAGTTAAGTCATCTCATAACAGAATCCTAGAGCAATCTATCCTTATAAAAATTATAAAATCAAAATAGTAAATCATAAGTGGTTTCGTTGATGAAAATATATAATTAGTTTTAATCAGTTGTTTTCTTATCAACATAATTACTTTCAAATAATTTGCAACTATATAGAAGCTGAGCAGAAATGTAAGTTTTAATCTTTTTAAAAAAGATTTTGCAAATTACACTCAAAAGATTTTACAAAATGCTAAAATATTATAAAACATACTTGAGTTACAATTTGTTAAAATAATCAGTTAGAATTATTATTTATACTTAAATTTTTAAATTTGTTATGTAGGTGTCAGCTCAACAACCTGAATGGTGCTTTTCAATCCAGATGCTATTAAACAAACAGAATGAAACAAACCACATAACTCCTGAACAAAGTTAGCAATGATTAATTTTGGAAAACCTTACCATGGTAAAGATTCTTTGCAATATTTTCAGTTAAACAAGGGAGTTAAGTGAATTGAAATGCTTATATGGACTGACTGTCCAAAGAAAGATGTAAAAGTAAAACACTGTTGGTAAAGAAGCTGTTTTCAAAAACTTTGTACATGTATTTAAAAAAAAGGCCAATGGATTTGAGTTTCTGTTTTGTGAACTAAACAAAGAAATGTGATAGCCCTGAAAAAAAAAGCAGAAAGTGAAGAAGGAGAAGCATACAATGACCCAACTATCTTATCTTAATGTAAATGAAAATGGACGTGAGTACATTTTTCACAACTGATTCGCATTAACCCGTTACCTACCATGGCCATTTTGATCTTATCGTGAGGGCAAAATCACATTTGTGAATTGAAAAAATTATTGAGAACTTATCTTTTATTGGATTTCAGATTTTATTTTTGTAAATAGTAGCATAACCTTCAATTATTTGTACAAAATTATGGTATTTAATGAAGTTTAAGGAGGAATTTAATGAAAAAATTCCTAAAATATGTTTTAGACTGTAAATAAGTGTCCTCTCAGAAGAAATTTTTTTTCAAGCTTTTTTACAAATTTTCCCTTCCACTTCAGCACTGGTTCTTTTTCTAGTCTGTTTTCTTTATAAAACAGTGTCTGGGCATGTTAAACCTCAGTTGTAAAACATTTAGCCAATCCTAGTCGAAGGTGTCAATTTCAGTACCATGTTATTCCAATCGCTGTAATTCACGTTTGACAAATCATAGGATGATAAGGAAAGCACATGACAAAACGTTCTCTGGATTTTACAATATGAATCTAGGTGGTGCTTATTATAGTAACTGCCACTTTATGTAGAAGTTGTTTTTAAATTTGATGATGAATTGCACCTGATGATGACAAAACCTTATCAAAACACTGTACATTTGCTATTATGTTAAACTTATATTAAAGTTTTTCTTTATTACCCATTAAAGCCATCTCCAAGCATTATTAGAGGTTGTATTTAGTATCGGCC